GAGAATTAAATAGATAAATGGGCGGCGCTGTTGTTCATGCTTCACTATGCACAAAGCAACTTGCATTCAAAATTGGACTCATGGCAGTTCAGCAACAGCCTGGCACAATAGCGTCATTAGACACGCAGGGCCGGCTTGCAGGCGCAGAGAGGCTGCTCTGCAGCTGGAGTAGCCACCGGGCTGGCGTGACGTGGGCTCATTTTATTAGCTTTATAAAAATGCATCTTTCAAAGGCAAAAATGGAGAGAAAGAAGATGCAGTGTCCCTTCTTTGAAGACTTGGCAAAGCGTCGTCGCTGTTTGAAGGCAAGGGGAAGAGAGGAGAGGAGGGGATTTGTGGTGTCCATACGCCCCCCATCTTTTGTGCTGGCTCTTCCTTGCAGGCAAATCCTCCATTTCCAGAGTGTGGAGGGGACAAATAAGGAACCTGTGCCTGCAGAGCCCTCACCTAATGACTTCTTTGACAATATTCCCTGGCAGGTTGCTAACTTAATGGTGAAGGTGTCCTGAGTCAAGAGAAAATTGAAGATTTAATCCCTCTGCTTGCCTTGGGGCTGTTGGCTTGCAGGAGAAGCATTTGGGAAGGAGCTGGGTGCTTAGTAAATCTCACAGATAGCAAAGGTTGGTTCTGCTGGAGCTGTCAGCGTGATTTGAGAGTGGTTTAGGTCTGAGTGTAATTGGCATGGTGGTCGTTGTGTTTTAAAAGCGACCCTGACTTCTGCTGACCCGAGGGGAAATTCAATTTTATTAGTAAGTAGGGAAATTCAGTAAGAAAATCAGCAGCTGTCACCATCATCAGGATGGAGCCAATCTTGGAAGGGGTCAACTTGCCTATGGCTTGTTCTCTCACACTGGGCAAATCATTTGCCTCCCAGGTTTCACCTTCCTCAGTTGTAACAGAGCTAACAAAGCTGACAAAGCCTGCCCTCCTTGGCAGGAGCATTGAGGAACTCAGGTACTCGAGGCACATGCCCATAAATCTCTTGTTCCCTGTACTGTCCTAACTTTGAGGCATTTTAACCACATGCCTCCATTGGAAAAGGTCTGAAATTGACAGGTTAGTGGCAGAAATGTGCAGAAAGAGTCTTTGCTTCTGGGCTGCTGTTTGTGGACTGCATTGCATTCATGGTGGGGTGGATGCTCAGCCCCCTCTGGCATTCTCTTGTGTCAGAGCCAACCTGGGTCTCTGTTTCTACATAAGTAATTTAAAATCAAAAGTCAATGTGATTTCAGAACTGGCTGGGCATCCCAAATACTCTCCTAATACCATGCTTGTCATTGAACCTTTTAAGTCTTCCTCCTCTCCTTGTGCCTGCACAATGTTTGCGTTCTAATGATTCTAACAGGCCTGGGATTTGCTTTGACATACCAAGTTAATGTTTTCTTTTTCTATATCAAATCTAGGTCAATCTCTGGCTTAGCACTAATGCTGTACTGAGCAAAAAAGGATTGGCCACTAATGGTTTCAATTTAGTTTTTTATGGAGTAAAGAAAATTTCACTCAATACCTATTTTCATTTTTATTCTGTTGGCCTTTCCACAGGGTCTGTTGGGATGGAAAGAGTATTTGTGCTTTGATTAGGGGAGACCCAGCATATTTGTTTGCCAGTGCAAAGCCTTTATGAATATGGATGAGGATAAGAGCTCACCTGCACCGTATCCATAGAACATGCCTTCAGGGACTACATCCCAGTGAGGGTTAGGTGGTAGGTGATCCCAAGCAGGGGGTTCTCTTTGGGGAACAGCCTCATTTGTGATCCAACATCATCCTCATTGAGGTCCTCCATGATACAGCATAGAGGAAGGAGAGATAAAGAGTAACTCGTCTGCCTCATGTCAGTGTGACTGTAGACAGCTCAATCTGAATCTAGCCTTGGACAACATCTTTGGGAGGAGGCTTTCCCATGCCTGCAGTGTGGGAGGGCTGCCAGGACCATTTCCCATCTGCTGGGAGCCCAATTTGTTTTGTCTTTCCCTGCCCAGTACCAGTCTCTGCGTACCGTGATGGGATGATAGCAGAAGCACCAAGGCACAATGGCTTGGAACATCCATACAGAGCAATGAGAGTGTCTGTGATTTAGGTTGTTTTTATGCTTTGGTGGCACATGGAGATGGCAGAGAGAAGTTTAATGGGAACAGGGTGACACTCACCCTCCTGATGATGGTAAAAAGGGCCTGGGGCAGCACCAGTCCCTCTGTTGGCACGTGGATATTACATTGCTGGATGATGGAAACCACGGGCAGATGGGTTGGAGAGTGCCTCCCCTCTTAGGAGCTCACGGGTGAATATTGTGATTGCATGTATTTATTTTTAACATTATTATGGACATTAGCATAGAAATGAGCTGCAGCTCCCTGGCTGCTGGCCAACCCCACCCGGGCTGGCGCTCAGCTCTTCTCCGTGGCAGCTGGAACAATAGCGCCCGGCTGATAGCGTTGGTCCTGGCACTTGCTGAGAAGAAAGACAAGTGACAAACAGGAGCAAACGCTCTGCCCCATGAGTTTGTTGCAGTCAGTTGGGACTTATATAAAAACCTCACATGGGTCAGCAGAGATTTAGCCCCTCCAAGCAATGCCCTGTAAAGCAGTTGGGTTCTTATCCCTCTCTTCACCTTCCACCCAGTGATTTATTCCCAGGCTGAGAATACCAGGTAATCACTCACACTGAAGTTTTGTTGCTGTTTTACAGGGGATGCTCCAGAAGTCTTTTGTCTCTGCAACTGTAAATAAACTCGTAAACCTGTTTTAAAAATAGCATTCTGTAGCTTAGTGCATGAATTTTTAATGCATCTTCTGCAAACCAGCTGGTCTTGGCAAGGGTCACAGTGTTTCCTAGGCATTTAACATAAAACTGTGCTTCAAAGCCACATTATAGGGTCGTTGAAGAGTAATATTTTACTTAACATCCTCATAACTGAATTATTTATAACTTCCCATGTTTTATTCATGATAAATATTAATACTGGTGTCTTTAAGAGTAGAGGTTATTGCTGCAGTTTTACCTATAAGAGGTGATATTATTGAAATAAAGGAATGGCGATGAATTCTGTAGCCAACAGAGTGAAGTCTGTGCTGGGGCTGTTCTCATTCACACCTCCCTCTTCTCATCAACCCTGTCAGCCACCGAAGAACCTCAGCACTGAGCATCTGTACATTTGAAAGGAATTTTCCTGCAGGCATCTGAATCCCTGATTTTTTTAAAATTTATTGAGGAGCTTTGTGTCATTCTCATTAATTCTTGGATTCATTTCTTGGTGAGAGTTCATGAGCTTTGAACTGCTTGGGTCTCCAGCCTTGAAATGTTTGCAGGCTCCTGCCACAGGCACCCCTGGATCCCCTATTCTTTGAAACATCAGTTCCCACCTTGGAAGAGGAATCACCTGGTGTGGGAGACCCCCCCCAGCAGCCTTTGGGCTTCTTCCAACATGGTTGAGTGCTCTGGGCCATGATCAGTCTTCTTTCAGGGCTAAATCTATGTGAATTGGGTAAATTGCCATTGCACCATTGGGCTCCATCCTTTACCAGAGAGGATAATTGCATTAGCTTTCATCCTGGGAAAGGCAAATACAATTTTCCATGATCTTTCGCCTTGTGCTGATGTGTTCCCATCTGGCTGGAGCATTGCACAGCCACCCCCTGGTCCTGCTCCCATCGGTGCATCCCAGAGTGAGGCTGGCTGCCCATCCCACCCTCATGGCTACAAAACCTTCCAACCCTACATCCGTGCTGGGACTTTGCTCCATGTTACTCCATCAGCTTAACAAATGTGCCGTCAGCGGGTTGAGAGCGGTGGTTGCGGGAGCAGCGCAGGTTAATGCAACACATATTTAATGTATGATTGCTAATGGCCATCTCCCATCTGCCCGAGCCCAACTGCAGTTTGCAGATGAATGATTAAGCTGCCCTGACACATAGGCAGGCTTGTTCCTTAGCAGAGCTACATTCATTACACTTGATGCATGTAAAAGGGGATGAGGCTTTCTTGCTAGGGAGAGGGGTGTCATCGGGCTGGAGTGGCTCTCTTGGAGTTTATTTTGTATGATAATGTGAGAGATCTTTCCCTGGATGCAGCACTTTAAATGAATCATGAGCTAAATAACCACTGGGATGTTTATTAGCTTCGAATATGTTTATTGCGGAGTCAACAGGCAGCACCTTCCAATTAATTAATAGTAATAATTACAGTATTATTTATGGAGCTCTAACAGCATGACAGAGTCTTTCTGCACAATGGCTCCAGCTGTGGCTGTGCTGGAACAGACTGGTCTGTATTCGCTCTGCGTGGGCACACTGGGGTTCATCATTTGCTGTTGGCTGGTCCCAACCCCAAAAGCCTCACTTTGCTGTGCTGCTGAGCTCTTGGCAGCTGCTGTCTCTGTCAGCTGAAGCCTGTTGCTCCGCAGCGTGGGGATGTGGCTGTTCCTTCTGTGGTGCTGGAAGGCAGAGTATGCAATGAGAGGGAGCACCTGCCAGACAGAGATGGAAATCAAGCGCTGTAGGTTTTACCAGGGTATCTGTAAACTTTTCTGGTCAAGGTATTTAAACAAAATGAGTTTAGGAGTCAAGCTGTGCATGTCAGAAGGATATTTACAGCAGATAAGATGTTGGCAGCAACAGAAAGGATCAACATCTGCTTTCTGATATGAGCTTGGATCCAAAGCCTGCTCAAGCTGTTAAGAATGACCTCGAATAAGTGCCAGTGCAGTGTCTGTGTATCCTTGCTGCCCCTGTAAACCTTGGTGAGGACCATGATGTCATGGAGCATGGTCTCCTGTCCTGGTTGAGTCACTCAGTTCACTGTGCAGAGGCAGGCAGATAGCAAGGACTTACCACTACTTGTTTGTCCATGCAGGAGGTTAGGCTGCAGACCAGCCTTCTGCTCTTGCATTACAACCCCATTTGCTACCTCTGGGAAATCAGGGTGTTTCTAGGTCATGTGAAGTGTTGACGGTGGCTCTCTCTTCATATATCTATAATTCTCTCTCTCTTTTTGTCTTCCAGCGATGTCTGACTTCCACATCCACCCTCAGAACGCAGTGGTGGAGGAAGGTGGTGTAGCAAGATTCCAGTGCCAGATCCATGGTTTGCCTGAGCCAATCATCCTATGGCATAAGAACAGCATGCCAGTCAACACAGACAATGAAAGGTAGGATTAGTCCAAGCCATGTGCTGCTGTCCTTTCCTCTAGGTGGAAAAGTGGGGCCAGGCTTGCTATTGCTCTCACAGTTGTTCTTGGACACAGCTAACCTGGGCTGAGGGTTTTGGCCAGTGTTTCCACTGTGGAAGACTCTTTTGGTTAATGTTGTGGCTTGTCTGGTCTCCTGGCCAAACATCTTGGAGCAGTACTGGCATCTCCTAGGAGAGGCAGATAAAGTCCATTAGCTGATTTTGAAGGGGGTAGGGCTGGCACTGACCCTCCCTGAACATCCCTCCTACAGGTTTACTTTCCCAGCATGAAGAGCCAGGCCAGCAATCCTTACAGAGCTAGGTAGCTTTGGCATCCATCATCCCTCCATGGCTTCACTTTGTGTAGCTCTTTCCAAGCCAGATCCATGACTTAGGATCTTCCATGTGAGTCCTGGTCTCTTGCAAATGCTCAATTACACTATGGCCACTAGACTTTCCTTCCCAGGTGAACTCCCTTGTGTGTGGCAACAGGGAAGCTCTACAGAGGGCATCCCACAGCAGTCCTCGTAAAGAGAACCCCCAGCTGCCTCCCTTCCCAGCCTAGACCTGGAGCGGCACGTCCTCGCTTCCTGTGTTTGACAGGCTGCTCCCTTTGTGTCGGAAACATCCCTCATCACGGTTTGATCCTGGGAGCGCGGTGGGACAGGTGGCAGGAAACGCATGCTCGGTGCCGGCAGCCTCCGGCGCTCCCAGCTGTAGCTTGGGAGCCACAGAACCGATGGTGGGAGACAATCAGTCACAGCACACCTCGATCATGAATTGACGTCTGTGCCTTGGGAATAGGCGATACCAGGAAGCTGTAAATATTTTCCTGAAAGCCTCTATTCTTATAAATGTCAGTTCTCCAGCAAGAACGTGGTTGGCTTCTTCGGAGGCAGGAGAAAACACAAGAGCTGAAACAATGCCTGACCTTTTCAGTGTGGTGGTGAACTTACAGTAGAAGGACCCAAGAGGCCCAAATCTGCTGTGGAAAACTGCAACTGTCAGGTTTTGGTTTTTCTTGTGTTTTTCATCTGTGCTTTTTTTAGCCCAAGACAGGGTTGATTTGTTGAACTTGATCTCCTCTGAAGGCTTCTTACTCATACAGGTGCTGAACTGGGGATATCGTAGGGCAAAGCGACTGGTCTGAGGTGGCAGCAGCAGAAGTAAGGGGTGGAGAACTGGGCCAGATGCCTTGCATGCAATCTGATGAGATGCTGCAGGACAGGTTTAGTTGTCCTGAAGTCCTTCATGCATCATTGATCCTTCCCGCTTGAGGCCAGGGTCACAGGTGTGGAGATGGACAGAGATGTGTCGAGGATTTAAATGCAACCAGGACTTCTTTTCTCCACGGCTGGGGAACCCCAAGGCTGAGGAACCCCAAGGCTGAGGAGCTCCAAGATTGAAAAGCCAAGACTTTTCTCCAACCCAGAGTGCCTCAAGCTGTGCTCATCCCTGCTGATTCTCCTCCAGGGCAGGGAGCTTGCACAAACCCTGGAGGATGTGGGCTAGGAGCAGTTTCCCTACGCTCGTGTCCTGATTTTGAACAGATTTGGCTTTTTGCAGGAGTGAAGTTACTGGGGAAGGTTTTTATTGTCAGCTCAGTAGATTAATCTCTGACACCAGAGCCTGGGTGATGAGAGTTGCTTCTCTAACTGAATTGGATTTCTGCATTAATCACGCCTGGTGCATTTCTGCGTATAAAGTGTATATAAATTTGTATGCCGAGTCTTGCACTTGGAGGCTTTGAAGGCAGAATAATAGCTTTGGAATTGAATCTTCTAATGCTGTGGGCAGATTGTTAACAAAAATGAAGGCTTCTTGTGGTATAATTCATCCAAAACAATGGGCATTTTAAAGTCCCAGAGAGATTGCAATCAACTTCGGGCCATGTAAAACTGATTGCTGTCACGCTGCCACCGACACAGAGCAGCACGTTTGGAACCTGGCACAGGGAGCAGGTTATAGGCACTTAACCATATGCTGATATGGAAAAAGATATTCTTCATCTTCCAGTCGGAAATGGATTATTAACTCATCACTGTGTAATGACTTACTACCAGCCAATTTAAACACGTGGTTGCCGAGCAACCTGCAATGTATGTACACATACATGTGTGTATGCACGCGTGAGTTAAATGTACCTGTGTTTTAAAGATAAAATATTTATGGATGTTTACATTTGCCCACTCAGTATTTATTTTAAACATGCCTTTTCATGCATTTGAGGTTTTGAGGTCATGCAGATTTGAGTCCTGGACCTGGAGCAGGGAGTGTGGAGTTCAGAATTCCCCTGTTGCTTGTCCGTGGTCGCTGTGCTTCATAGTTTCATAGTATGTTAAGGGGTTGGAGTGGACCTTAGAGATCATCCAGCCCCAACCCCCTGCCCTGGGCAGGGACACCTCCCACCAGAGCACGTTGCTGAAGGCTTTCGCCAACGTGGCTGTGAACACTGCCAGGTTGGGGCCAGCCACAGCCTCCCTGGGCAACCTGTGCCAGTGTCTCACCACCCTCACAGGGAAAAACGTCTTCCTAATATCTAATCTAAATTTCTCCTTTCAATTTACCCCCATTACTCCTTGTCCTATCACTACAGTTCCTAACACAGTGTCCCTCTCCAGCTTCCTTGTAGGCCCCTTCAGATACTGGAAGATTGCTATGAGGTTCCCACGCAACCTTCTCTTCAGCAGATGAATGATAATTCCCATGTCATGGTAACTCCTATGTCAGCTGTGATCACATGCAAATGCATTGCCAAAGCTTTTCCACAGGTTAAACAGGATTCCTCTACTTTGTAGCCTTCCAACAAAAGTTGTAATTTCTCAAGGATTCATCAAGAGATAAAGAAAGGGAACATACCCCTCTGTACAAGGAGACCAGAGACTCAAGTATCCATAAAAATTAAAAACTGATGCAGTGATAAGTGTGGGCTCAGCCTGCAGGGTCTGCATCACTTGGATGGTGTTGGCATCACCCCCACCAGGATCGGGGGTGCCAGCCTGCCTCACCTGGGTGGGTGTGCATCCTGCTGTCCATCGTGTCCTGCTCTGCAAGTTTTTATTTCTGTTTTTATCTCCCCACAGGTACACACTACTTCCCAAGGGGGTTCTCCAGATAACAGGACTAAGGGCAGAAGACAGTGGGATATTTCACTGCGTTGCTACCAACATTGCTAATGTGAAGTTCAGCCGGGAGGCTCGACTCACCGTATCAGGTTAGTACCAGTTACCACTGCCCTGCCTGCCCTTCTGTCCTCTTCCCACTGCTGTTCTGGACCAGGACAGTTTAAGAGAGCTTCAGGCTAACAGCACTGAGAGGTGTTCCTCTGTCCAGCTGTAACACCTTCCTTGTTCTGGATTGTTATTAGTTCCTGCCAGATCAGTCCACTTGATAGCAGATAAATCTGTCTCCTTGCCTGTAAATTAGTGCCAGTTTCTGGATAGAGGGAGGGCAGCGAGAAAATGACTTACAGCAGCTTTACATTAAATAAATTCTTTTGAAAATGTAGAAGATTCATCATTTCCTTACGAGACCTGCCCACTCTGGTTGTAATTGCAGCACACAGGGTGATCAATTATTTATCTAATGGGGGAATTGTAGGCTATTAGCACTGCATGGACCGAAGCTGCTAACCTTCCTTTGGAAGACAAGAGGGAGAAGCCCGGAGCACCTCAGGCTGAGTTTTGACTTGGTTCTCCATCCACATTTTGAAGTCAGTGTCCAACATAGGTTTTCAGCTCCAAAAGCTCCAGCTGAAGAAATACTGGTGCCTTATGGTCTCCTCTCCAAAAAAAGGGCCAAAATGACATATTTGCTGTTTGGTTTCATGATGCTCAAGGTAGGCTGTGATGAAGCTGTAAGGGCAAACCAAAGCAAGACTTCATGGCATTTGTGGGTTACATTCAGGGAAGATAATAGTCCCAGAGAAGTAGTCACTGCAAATTGTGGCTGTGTCTTGCTGGCAGACACAGGACTCCATGCAAGTCAGAACCCCCGTAAGATTCTAGGTACCCATTGTACTCCCCTGTGACAGCAGTGGTGATGCATCCATGGCTCTCCAGTGGGGAATCATCCCAGGTTCCCTGTGGAAATGGGGATTACATCTTTGGAGATAAGAGGCAAGGGTGGGTGTTTCTTGACTTTTTTTATACGGAGCAAAAGGTCTTTCCCTGTAGCTGTGATCCTCCTGTCCGGCAGATACACATAATCATTGGTACCCAGTAGCTGGAGGCTCACCAACATACAGCCACATCTCACAGCTTCCCATCTCCCTCCAAAACACTGCCTGGCCACTGGTTCTGGAGCAGAGACTTAGCACCTGTACTGAGTGTCAGATTAGCCTCTGCCAACTGTAAAAAAGCAACACGTGTGAAATGGGGTGAAACCAAGGGAAGAGTGATGCTGTGTATATCAACTCTGACGAGAAAAAAAAGCAGCTTAACTAGTTCTGAAAGACCTGGGAGCTTTTGGTGCCTGTTACTTATCTGGTTTGATCTATGTGAACAGTAGCCACGTGGAGGGAAAAGAGAACAGTAAATTATCGATGTGGTGAAGTTCTTTGTGTCAGTTTACTGGCCTGAGTTATTATTTCTCGCAGGGCAGAAAGCACTAGTTGTTGTCATCTGACCATCCCTCATTTCAGATGGATATTTTCCAGGTTTCCTGTCTGTGAAACACTTGTGGTTTTTTCTCTTCTTTAAAGCAGTCAGATGATGAATACGGGCACCGTGTGTAAGTGTCTGTTGAAGGGTTTGGACCATGCTTCAGTGCCTGCGTGTCAGCAGAGCTGCTGTAACAGGACATTTGCATGGAAAACCCGTTGCACTGGGTTAATGGAAACCGTTTGTGCTCTGTGGTGTTTGCTTAGAGCACACAAATAGCTGTTAGACCAGGACAGCAGGTATGTGTTAGCTTGTGAGCCCTGGGCTTTGGCAGAGCTGCAGAGGCTGTGGTGAGCCACAGAGGTGGTACAGGGAAGCTACTTCACTGGTGTGGGTGTTGTGTCAGTAAATACCAAGCTAACGTGTGAGCTCTGCTGTGCACATGGCATTAGGCATGATGCAGTAAGCAATGCTCTTGCATATCTTTTTATCAAAACCCTCTTGTGTCGAGGGGTGAAGGGCATGGTGCTCTCTGCTCTTCATCGTGGCAGGAGGGCTCCCTCTTTTCCTAACAGGGCAGCAACTTCAGCTATTGCTTCACCCACAGAGAAGCACCAGGTTTGCTGCCCTAGGGTTTCCATACAGTGCCCTGGCTGGGAAGGGAGGAGGGAGAGGACAAAGATGGGCTCTGGAAGCCTGTGCCCTGCAGGCTGGAGAGGAAGAGGAGGGTGGCTGCCGGCGGGGGATGGAGGAGCCTGCTCTCAGCAGTGGTGGGGCTGACGGCAGCGAGCGGCACGGAGATGTCTTCCAGTCCTGCTGATTGATTATTTTCAAGTGCCTGCTTAGCGGAGCTGCTCCCGAGGGACTGCCTGCCTCTCTGTGCTGACACCTTTCCCGTGCGAGCTGCGGCTCTCCCTGCTGCTGTCCTTTTGATCAAGATCTATCAGGTGACGCTGCGGTCCCTGCCGGAGTGCCTGTCGCTGCTGGCAGTGCTGGGGACCTCCCCATCCTCACCGTGATTGCTGCTGGCGGAGTCCCTGGGGACCACAGGCATCATTAGAACCCTTTTCCCTTTCAGAATAAATCTCCCCTGTGCTGCCCTGAACCCTGTTGTGCTCCAGTGGCGCTTGCCTGCCACGAGTCCCTCGTTTTGTCATTCCTTCCTTCCTGACTCTACATTAAAGGGTTGTTCTGGTTGAAGAAGGAAACCTCCTCGTTGATAGTGGGGTATGGTCAACCTTTGTGCACGGTACTGGCGCCTGGCTGCCACATCCCTGCTGTGTCTCCATCCCTTCTGGCCCTGGAGCTGGCCCTGCTGTGGGCACTGGGCTCAGCAGCAAAGCCACGGGACCATTCCATGGCCATTGCAGGAGAAGGTGAGCAGCAGTGCCACTTCCAGAGCTGGGCAGGGTTTGCCTGAACTCAGGGAGCTGAGCCTACACCCAAGAACCTGAATGTCTATTAAGGACTCAGAGTATAAATCAGACAGTGTGATTTAAAAAATATTTTATTGTCAGAATAGTGTGGTTTATAAATTCTGCTTTAATCTCAGCTCCCATTTGCTGATATTCTTGGGTGACCTTGGACAATTCGTTTCATTTCTCTGTGTTTTGAAATATTGAAATCTCTGTATAGTATGCTGATAATACTGTATTATTCTAAGCGTGAACATTTAGTATTGTGATTCAGAACAATAAATCTACATGGGTTTTAAAGGCACTCCAAGGTGCTGAGGGGAAGGTATTGTTTTTCAGATCTCTTGGGGTTAACCAGCCGGTCATATGAATTTATTGTGCATTCTGGTTCTCATCAAAAAATCTGCATTTTATGGCTTGCAGTGAAATGCATTTAGTGAGAAAGTCAGCTCTTAAGTCACACTGACACGGTGATTTTTCTTGGATTTTGCCCATTTACACACAAGCTCTGAGTCACTTTATCGCTCCCCGTTTAGCCCCCATAGGAACAATTAACAAACGAGCTGCTCTGATCCATGCTTGCCCTTGGACCGCTGCAGAATCACCATTACGCCCTGGCTCCAGCCCCTGAGCTGCTGGGTAAAACTCAGAAGTGCAGGAAGAAAATGTTTTTCTTGGAGAAAAGCCCTGACTGATAGTTTTTGGTGGATCTTTTGGACATTGGGAAGTCCATGTCCAGGAGTCAGTGTGGGATGGTCCCTACGACAAAGCCTGGCCAGTGGCTGTGCTCCCACAGCCTTCTCTGTGCTCCTCTCCTGCTTGGGGGCAGACAACCAGCCCAAGTATTTCTCTCCACAGGTGTACAGAGCTTTTTTGCCAGCAGCAGCTGTCAGATTGTTGGAATTCCTTAAACACTGCTTGACCTCAGCAGTTCTGGACTATAACCCAGCTCTCATCGGAGATGGGGAGAAGACTAATACAGAGATTTTCAGTGTTCCTGTTTACTGATGGAGAACTGAGAATGCCTCTTGGTTTTCCTTCTCTCCTTCTCCCAGAAAAAAGGGGAGTAAAGGCTGCAAGGACATTTGGCCCAGGGATAAGGCACTTTTTAGGGACTCAGGAGAAGTGGGTTCAGCTGTGGTGTTCCTGACACAGGATGGTAATTTTGTCCCATGCTCTCATCCTGTCTAGTGAAATGTGTTTTCTTTTGCTTGTCCTGTGATGCCCACACTCCTTGTGCCAGGATTTTATTTTATTACATTGTCTTGTACGATGGATTTCATTCATGGATACTGCCACGTGGTGCTACTGTAGTGCAAATAAATGATTAGTGGTTGCATTGTGAGCAGAGAATGTGTCACAATTATATCAGAGCAATGGGATGCATTCTTTCCCTGCAGAAAAATGGCAGGGAAGTGACCACAGGGCTGCACTCATTAGACTAGTTTCATCTCAAAAAGGTCCTCAGCAGGAGTCAGGGACTGGCACCTCCATCACTCTGTGTCCTGGGACAGGGCTCTTGGGGCAAATGACACCACAGTAAGAGGGGATGCTCACAGATAGATACAGGCATTGTGACTGCTTGGGCTACTTTATGTCTTGAGATGCTGAAAGACAAAGCAATTCCAGGGATGAGGCATCCATAGTTAATCAGAGCAAGCTGTTCCAGTGCTTCACCACGTTCACTGTAAGGAATTTCTTGCGTACATCTAATCTAAATTTCCCCCTTTCAATTTGAACCCATTGCTCCTTGTCCTGTCACTGCAGTTCCTGATGAAAGAGGATATGTACTTAGAGGATGCCTGAAAGTTTTCTTTAAACAGGAGGGAATCAGATGCCTTTTAACAATGATGCTGTCCTTGCAGGCTCCCACTCCACGGTTTACAAGGACCCCATGATTCTCGTCGGTCCGGAGAACCTCACACTGACAGTGCACCAGACTGCTGTGCTGGAGTGCATTGCCACAGGCAATCCCCGGCCCATCGTCTCCTGGAGCCGCCTAGGTAAGCCCTGGGGGTCACTGGGATTTCCTCCTCCTCCTCCTCCTCATCATAGCCATCATGTTGGGAAATAGGTAGGTGCCACTATTTTATACACGTGATTCACCCTTTCCCTTCCCACTGAAGCTAATTGTAGGCTTGAAGTGCTTTTTATCCTCACGTCTACACTTTGTTTTTTCTCTCTGCCAGGATCCTGTTTTCAGCTCTTAGAGAAGTGGGTTGGTTAAACCTGTAGATGTTTCATGAAAGGTGATAATTTTATCTTTTCTCAAGTGACAGCATCTTCTTTTGCTGCATCAAAAACATCACCACTGTTGGCCTAGAGAGGCGAAATCATACACAAACACATCTTTCACGTAGAAACAAGACTTGAAAGAAACTTGCTGCCTGTTCACGGAGTTTTAAAACAATTTTGAGGGGAAGGGAGTGTTTAAAGTAACATGTCTGAAGCTCTGAAAAAACAAATGCTTGCTGCTGGGGTCTGTGTTACGTTTTTATATCAGCATGGAAACCAGAGGTAGCATCTGATGGCATCATAAAAGCAATGAAGAGCAAAGGGCTGTGTTTCTCCAGGTCTATTTCTGCTGGTCTAAAATAACTCAGCAAGGGTTATTTTAGGTTCTTATTTTGTACCTCAGAAACTATTTTGCTCAGAGCAACCCTTCCATTGCCCTACAGAAACCCGTGCTGAGCAAAGAGGTGATGAGTTTTATCTTCCAGAGCTTGTAACTGTGACTGCATGCACGATGGGGTTAGGTTCACTTAGTATTTTCCAAGACCCTGTGGTCTGCGATGTCATATCATTTTGGGGATGTTAATTGCTCTGAGTCCATTAAGGTGGCTAAGGAGCACAAACAGGGTAATCCTGTCTCATGCTGCTGTGCTGAATGTGGGACTTTACCCCCATGGCTCTACAAGGGTTAGGATCCAGCGCATGGGCAAGGCAACTTCCTGCTCTGGAGCTGCCTGGCAGGCAGTGAGGATACGTATCCAGCATCAATCACATGTTTTTTCCATGTTTGCCCTCCTGCTTGCATTCTCTGGTGCCTTGTAAAATCAGCCTGTCTGCCACTAACTGGTTTTTTTTTTTCCTCCAGAGCCATAACCATCAGATTGGTGCTGTTTTAAAAATTCCCCAGACAGGCTGTATCACTGGTTTGGCTCTCTTGGACACAAGGCAGCTCTATGTTAGTGCTCAACTATAATAAACTACTTTATAATTGACTTAATTATAAGTGCTTATTACCTTCTTCAAAACACTTGTCTCTATAGAGCAGTGCAGTAATGAAGATGTAATAGCAATGTTTGTCTGGATGGTCTGAGCTCAGTGTTGCCTTCCACCAAAAATAAATACCCTCTTCATGCTGCTTTGCAGCACAGCGGCAGAATTAGAGTTACAGAGTGGGAAACAGATCCTGTTATTTTCCCTCCCCTCCAGGAGGAATGTTTCCTGTCCAAAGCATCACAAGGTCTTGTTTAGTATTACACTGATCTTGACAGCGACGCAGTGTACAGGCTCTCCGATGAGCTGGTGGGTTTGTCATCTCTTTGTAGCCAATTCAGAAGTGCTTTCATGTCTTCATGCCTGTGTGATCAGGAGGAGGGAGAGGGGTTTGTGCTGGACAGAGAGGTCCTGTGAATCACTGTCATCTCAGACTTCCTCCCACGTGCAGGTCTTCTTCCTGAAGTTCCCCCTACAGAGCTGGTTTAGCTTAGATAACCAGTTAATTCCATCAATTTAGGATAAAACCCACTTTTAATCCATTCCCAGAAGTGAAAAAATCCATGGCCACAAAGTCTTAGAGAAATGCAGCTGATTTAGCAATAGATCTGACTTAATTTAAACAAAAAAAGTCAATTCTGTGTGAACATCTTTCTTGCCTTGTGGAAGTAAAGAAGAGCTGTGGCATTGCCGTTGTGCTGGGGCTTCGCACAGGGCACGATGCCGTTTTGGAAACTCTCTCTGAATTCCTTTGCTCACAGTTTTGACGTTGTGGCATTTCTTCTGTCAAAAAGAAGCAAAAGAACAATTTTGCTTTCACAGCTTTCTGATGCAGGGGAAAGCAAGCCATAAACACCATTTGCACTTTTTGCTTTGGCTTTGCTCAAACCTGGCTGGTTTTCAGTGGGAAAGGCAGTTATATTTTGCTTGGAGGAAATCATTCGAATTCTGGGCCAGTTTTTGAGTGCCACGCAATCAATTTTGAATTTAATTTCCTTGGGAATATGTTGTAGCCCCCTGACCACAAACAGAATTCCTGTGTCTCTCCGTGCATGAAATGTCAACATTCATTAGAGAGCAGGCTCTGAGAGAGATGTAAAATCATTAAGGGTTTGTTCAGGGAAGATAGGGCTTTTCCTTTCAGAGCTACGCACTTCAGGCTTGGACCTGTATGCGTGCACAAATGAATATCCTGGGCACTTACTCCAAAGCCTTTTGAATGAACGACGATTTTAATGTATCCTTACCCTTTAACTGACAGGCCACTGAACTGGCCTCCATAAAAGGTACCAAGACAGAATAATAAACTATTTAGAGAGATATAGAAAAGTGAGGCGAGAGAGAAAGGACAGTGATTATCTGATAGCGTTATACAGAAGTTGTCAGAAAGGGCCTCACAATGGGAAGGAAATTACTAAAGAGGGAGCCATTCAAGAAGTAAACTATACAACAATTGTAGGAGCCAATTAATTGGTAACTTATTGGACACAGAAGCTTGCAATAGATGGCTGACTGGTTGACAGGAGCACCGTTCCTGTAAGTGTTTAGAAATAATAGAGTAAATTTCACCACTTCACATACTGAATAGTCAACTGTTGCAATGTACTCTAAATATGCTAATCCACAGTGCCCAGTGTCCGCCCGAGCAGGAGACCCATGTGTCTAAAAAGTGGAAGGCTACTATGACACAATACAAAGAATTCACAAAAGACCTAAATGATCAACATTAGAAAGTTGTTACTTTCTTTCTACTTGCTACTTACAAAAGAAAGGCGTTCGTGTTGTTGCATATTCATATCGCCTGGCACGTTTTAACGGGTCTCCGTAATTGGTGCCGCTGTGCCAATCACTCGCTTAGCAGGCGGAGAATGGACTCCAGAAAGCATCACATACACCTTGGAGAAATAAATAGTGTGGCTCCCAAACCACAGGCATCTTTCATCCAGACTTCACCCCGATGGTGAACCTGGAAGTGCCTAAAGGGCCCTACAGGAAGGCTGGAGAGGGACTTTTTGCAAGGGTGTGCAGTGATAGGACAAGGGGGAATGGCTTTAAGCTGAAGGAGAGTAGATTTAGATTGGATATTAGGAAAAAATTCTTCCCTGTGAGAGTGGTGAGGCACTGGCACAGGTTGCCCAGAGAAGCTGTGGCTGCTCCATGCCTGGGGGATGGAGCTTGGAGCAACCTGGGCTAGTGGAAGGTGTCCCTGCCCATGGCAAGGGGTTGGAACAAGATGAGCTCTAGGATCCCTTCCAACCCAAACCATTCTATGGTACTATAAAGTCTATACTTGTCTGTAGCCGCAGCATCTTTGGGGAGCATCTCCCAAAAGCATATCCCATTTGGAAAATGGTCTCCTTTATTAATGGGATGTCCATCTGCTCTTCACAACAGCTGAACCTCCCCCTTCTGTCCTTAGTAATTGAGGATTGACAGAGAGAATCTGTCAGACATTTCCACCCAGACTGGCTTGTTTTCAGCCCTCAACTATTCTGCTTTGGACTTCATAAAAAGAAGGTCATGCTAAATAAGCAGCAGCTTTGAGCCCATGTGGGTCCTGAGAGTATTGAGAACTGAGCAAGTGTTAGCTTTTGCAGTCTTTCAGCTCTCCTCCTTGGAGAGATGACTTGGTGATGGCAAGTGATGCCAGGAAGATGGGTTTACAGGGTTTGGATTGCTTGATCCAAGCCACTCTTCATGTAAGAGAAACAGGGTTAAAATAAATAGCAACCTTTGCAAAGCAGGTGTGAGGCATCAGTCCCTCAGCACAGTGGTTCTGCAAAGTGCTGAGCTTTCAGGATGCAAGGAATTTCTTGTGTAAACACTCTGTATTATTTATATGTGATGTCAGTGTTACTAAGTTGAACTAGATATTAGCTGAAGACCTTTTAACTGACTACAGGACGGCTCAGGTTCAGTGGAACACAGTAGAGTAAGAAGGCTGGAGCAGGCTGGAAAGGTAGAGATATTTCTGTAAAAGTCCTTTTCGTTGCACTTTGGAAGGGAGAAGTTGGGTGAGAGTCGTATGGGATGATCTGGCACAATGATCTTTGCTGGCTGTTAGACACTCTGAACCAAATGGCAGATCCCACAAGGTTTCTGAGCTTGGAAAGCTTTGCTCTTCAGGGAGATGAAAGATGCCTGGATGACAAGAGGTGTTTCCTCAGATCCCCACACTTCTAATTAAGTAGTTGGATCTAGAGGGATAACTGAGGACTTATCGATGCTGGTATTTGGGCTGTGAGGAGTACCTGCTGTACACTGGGTCTTTGCATGCTTAAATTATGGAGCACCTTATAAATAATACAGTAAAACGACTGACATTCAAGTCACATTTCAGTGGTATTTCTCAAGGCAATGATGTGATGAAGGATCCAGGTATGGCCACTTTGCATCTTTCACTGGTCCCATTCCTCCCTCAAGAGAGAGATTTGATTTTTATGCCTATTATAAATACGAACTTTCAAAAGGTCTAATTTAAAAGATGAAATCAAGTTCAATTTGAATTTCATTCAGACCTCTTTACACTTCAGTTCAAATGCTGTTTGGAAGGAATGGTTCCTTGTTATTGCTCATTAAATGTGGGACAGGTCATGTTTTACTGTTCTTTTTATGGCTGAGCCATTTACTGCAGTAGTGGCTTGGCCAGCTGTGTGATCATTTAATGGCATTGTTTTTCTCTCTCTAAAAGACCTGAGCATTTTTCTTTGCAATGCAAATAATTAAGGGGTCTGGCATTACCTGCCTAATGAAGCAAGGAAACCTTTAAGTTTAAAAATTTCCCCAAGAACAATATATAAAGAGCATGGCAGGAGATAGGTTTGGGAAGTGCTTTGTAGCTCTCAGTCCATGCTTTGCTGGTGTTTCCTAGTGGGATGCTGCTGTTAATCTGAAATGGGATCCCACACTTCTATGGTTGTATTGGGTTTGTGTGGCAAGGTTTTGCTAGCAGGAAGGTACAGGGGTGACTTTAGTCAGAAGCTGCAAGGAGCTTCCCCCATATCCAATGGAGCCAATGCCAGCAGCTCCAAGATGGACCCACCACTGGCCAAGGCCAAGCCCACGAGCAACAGTGGTAGTGCCTCAGGGATAACACATTTAATAAGGGAGAAAGGTTATTTCATGAGAGCAAATTGCTGCTGGAGAGGGGCGTGAGAAGATGTGAGAGGAGGAGCCCTGCAGAGCCCAAGGTCAGTGAAGGTACGAGGTGCTTGCAGTATCGGAGCAGAGATTCCTCTGCAGCCCATGGTGCAGCCCATGAGGCAGCTGTGCTCCTGCAGCCTGTGGAGGTCCACAGGGGAGCAGATACCATCCTGCAGCCTGAGGAGGACCCCACACTGGAGCAGGTGGTTGGCTGAAGGATCCAAGCACTGACTGGACAGCTGGTTGCAAAATGGCATTTCTGGGTTGATAGTTAATTTCTTCCCTCTCCTTGCATGCTGCTTTGCCTTCATGTTTTCCCAGTCTATTACAGAACCTGTTGGTTATGAATGGCCCAAATCCTCAGAATGTTCTTTATGATGCAAAACATGATATTCCATCTAAAGCATGAGGTTGCAGGATAACTTTTAACTAGCCCTGCACACTGTCTGTGTTGGAGCATAAAGCTCTTAGCAAGATTGCAGCACAGATCCGTAGAGCTCCCCAGAGGAATTCTTCAGATGAGTTTTCCCTTCTAGTAGCCACAGCTTTGATGCACAAGACACAGGTTCTTCTGCTGCAGCAGAGCAGATATGTACAGAGGGCTCCTGGGATGGTCAGGTGGGAACATCACCAGGGCTGGTTCTTGTTTCTCTGGTGTGTGTTGGTTCTTTAAATTCCTCCATGCAAACTTGAGAGAAGAACTGAATTCCTCTTTCCTGTCTGATGAAAGTGTGCTCCCTTTAACTGCTCCTCCTGTAAAACTCCTCCTTCCCTGCCTTGCCCCTCTGCTCAGACACCCTGGCACATGCTAGGCCTGATTTAGAGCTGCCTTTGTCAGGCAGTGTCTTAAAACACAAATCAATGAAACAATAAAAAGCAATAGCCTGATACTAATGAAACACATTGTAATTAGAACTGGCTGGGAATTTTCCAGTGAAAACAGGCCTTGCTGGAAAAAGGTGTGTTCCCTGATACAGAACTATTTTACATGCTCCAGACCTGGCACTCAGGGTGGAGGCAGCCCTTGCCAGTTGCCCTTCCAAACCAGAGTAGCTGAGAAGATCTAACTACCAGCAAAAAGTCTGGCTCCATGGCCCTGAGCTGCTGTGTGTTCTAGAGCTAAGGCATTGAAAATCCAGTGTTCATGTGTTTTCCGAAGCCACAAAAATCCATCAGGATTTAGCAGACAAAAATGTGTAACTTCTGGATCAGGAAATCCCCAGATGATAAATTGTGGTGGCTGGGAGAGTGCATCAGGGAAACAGTGTTCTAGGCTGGCTGGTTCTCTCCTTTCCAGACCCCCTCCACTGGATCCAGCCTGTTGAGCTGGCTGGATCCCTGTCAGTCTAATGTAAGAATCCAGGCAATGGCTCACAGAAACTGAGATGGTTTAACTTGGTTTAGCCACTCTTTTGAACTGTGTCTGGGTTCTTCTTAATCTGAACACATGGTTGAAAGCTTTTATGTCTCCTGTGATGGTACCTTGGTTTTTCAAGCAGTGAAGAGTGTGACTTTGGGTAAACATGTAAATAAGGATCTAGTTTTCTCCAGAAGGCAGTTCTGCTGAGAGCACCAGATAAACCCCTTTGACTTTACTTGGCAAATGCCAGTAACAGAACATGGCACCACTCCATAAATACTTAGATTGGGTCTCACCAGGGGCTGTGTCCTGGAGAACCTTGCACAGAAGTCCAGCATGTGACTCTTGTTCTTCCTTTCTTTCAGATGGGCGCCCAATTGGTGTGGAGGGGATTCAGGTGCTGGGGACAGGAAACCTCATGATCTCAGACCTCACTGTGCAGCATTCTGGCATCTACGTGTGTGCTGCGAACAAACCTGGCACGCGCGTGCGCAGGACCGCGCAGGGCAGCCTCGTGGTACAAGGTGAGCAAAGCCTCTACACATCCCCTGGGCACCAGCATGGGTTGGGTTGGACAGGTGCTGACTTCACTTCTCTGACAGCAACAGGCAAAGTGCTTCTTTCCTAGACACATGGTTTCCCAAATGGCTGTATGTGTTTGTGACCCACACAGGTGAGTAACAACCAGGTATCATTCAACTGAGGCCTCAGCTGGATGGGTTGCAATGGTTTCCCACCCCATTACAGGTATTTATTTGGCTTAACAGACACCAGTTGTTACTTGGTCTCATACTTGTCATCTCAGCTGAAAGCTTGGGCCAAATTCAGCTTCTCAGCCTTTCCTAGTCCTTCATGATAGGGGACATGGACACTGTTCTCATATTGGAGCCTCTGAATGATAGATAGCACTCCCCAGTGATGCCCAGCAGTGGATATCACTCACAGAGTATTACTCTCCAACTGAAATGGCACCAGTAAGTCTGAAACATTTCCAAAACGTTAGTGAGACTGTTTTCTTTTGCAATTGACACTGTGTCTGAGCCCACTGCCATGACCTGAGTGAAGCACCCTTTGGGGACCATGCCCATGGGATGCAGGTTGCTCCTCTTCTCACAGCAACTGTCCTGAAATGCTACTTCTAAAGAGCAATTCAGACAATAGTAGAGATCAGCACTCAAGACACCTAACAAATCCCTCTCCTCATGCTCTGTGCAACCAGTCTCCATGGTGAGGGGAGCCAGGCAAGTATTTGAGAAGACAAACCCAGCTGGCAGCGTGCTCTGAATGGCAGCAATCCGCCCCTGATTACAGGCACTCACCTCCTCTTCAAGCTAGTCCACTTAAAGCATCTCGTGCTCTCATCAGTTCACTCATTAACTATTGACTGATGATATCCTGAATCTAAAATTACACACCTCCTGCCGGAGTGTGCTAATTGAACCTTTCATGCTGGTGATGGGGAAAGTGCCCTGCTCCAGCCCTGATGCTCACCTGACAGGTCCCAGCAGTCGCTGGCAGTGATCCGACCAGCCATGGAGGAGCAACATAGAAAGGGAGTTTGCACAGGGCTGCTCATGCCTCCCAAGCCCCAGGTGCTGAACAGACATGAGAGGAGGTGAAACTCACTGTTTCTTTTGCTGTTGGATTTCTGGGTGAGCAGTGCAGCAGTGGGGCCTCCCAGTTGGCACACCTTGAGTCCCCTAATTAAGAAACACCAACCCAGGCATTAAGAATAACCTTGCTGTACTGATACAAGCTCTTTGGAGCTTCTGCAGAGCAGCTCTGCACATAGTGCATGTAAGCAGAGGCCTCCTAAGCCCAAATGGCAAGCTGATGTAGAGGAGGCAGGGAGGCAGAGCAGAAGAAATTGCTTGGAAAATCTATGAAGTTGTAAAAATACAGGTATTGAATACTCTTCACTGCTCCTGTTATCAGCTGGGTGAGAGGGAAAAGGCAGCACAACTCCACATTGCTACAGATCAGCAGTTTTCAGTCTCTTTGGAGAACATCAGCTCCTGAGTGCTGGAGTGGTCTAGTGCTGGAGTTCAGCCGGGGTAGAATTACTGTGGTTTTTCACATGGGGAACCAAGATGAGAATTTGTCCCTCAAATGGCAATCTCAGGGCTGTTGGAGCACAGCCTCACGATGGAAGGGGAATGCTCCTGCTTTCAGTATCAGCAGAGAAGTTGGCAGTGCTGTGCAGTGTGGTCGATGTGTCCTTGGCGTAGCCCTTAGACAGGATCTGCTGTGTCCAGGACCACAACCTGTGTTGCCCATCCTTAAAATGGGCTCTGTATTTCTGGAGGGATTGTTGTTCCCCAGGCAGGGTAATGGCAGACCCTGGCCAGGCAGCTGGGCTCATCCCAGGTTTGCTCACCCTCCCTCTGGAAGCAGTTTTTCCTTCCTCTGCATCTCATTTTGCCTGAATTTTCCAGCTGAGAGGTACAAATGATTGCTGTTCAGGTTTGTCTGGGAAGAAAACAGCGATAATGACTGACATGGGAGACTGTGGGTTTTATCTTTGTCAAGATGTCAGCGATGCAAATTACATCCGTTAAGGGAAGAAAAGCAAAGAGCAGGCTATCAAAAGCCTGGTTGGAGAGGAAGTTAGCACAGTGCTAGGACAATACAGCGTCCTCAAAGCAGCCAGGCCAGGTACTTGCTGCCTTTGTGCAGGGGCCCTTGAAGTGCCTGGAGGCACAAATTAACTTGCCCTTGTCTTTTGAAGGAGGCACGTTTTATAGGTAGGAAACTGGGGGAGAAAGGATGATGTTTCCTGTTGTAAGGGAAGGAGTTAGTGGGAGGCTGGGACTGAGACCAAGTCCTCCCTCCTGCTGCCAGCAGGTCCTTGTCCCATCACAGCAGCCACGTGGGCGGAGGTGTCCCAGTCAGTGCTCTGCTCTTCCTCCAGCAGTAATGTCCTTTCCCATTGCAGGCTCTCCTTCAGATCATCTAACACCATCTTATTATCTTCCTGGGAATTCCTCCTCCTTCCAGAGGAGAAGGCGTCAATCCCCCGCTCGCTCCCTCCCTCCCTGCCCTCCCCTGGCCATTTAGGCTCCTTTGATCTCTTTTGTAAGGTTCTCACACAAGAAAGTTTCCATTTTCCCTTCAGATCCCAGCGCAGCCATTTGAATATTGCTTTGTGCCGGCTGCGAATGAAGGTCTCACGGGGGGAGTTGTGGAAGGGCCGAATGGCTGAAGCAGAGGGTGTGGGTGCATGTGGGGCGAGGGAAGAGCAGGCTGCGGTGGCAAGGAAAGAAAAATATATCAAAGCGCTTTCCCTCTACCTCCTGTGCAATCTTTTGTGCTTTATTATGTGTTTGGTGTCATAACAAACTGATGGGCTGTGAATGGCCAGATGGTCACCAGTGTTCTCCACTCCACGCTTCATTTCCTCCTGAAAGCTATGCAGAAAAATGAGATCCCATCTCATAAATGAGGGCCCATCTTAAGGACATGGGTTTGAAGGCTCTGCTGACAATGACTGCCTTGTTTGCCTTGCTTTTCTGCTGGCAGGACTGGGCAGCGCTCCTTGGTCCAGCAGATCCGGCCACCGCTGCGCTTCCTGATGTTTCTTCCATCGTTCTTGCTTGCTGGCATCACAAGCCTTGGCTGCAGGGTGGAATTCAGCAGCAGATGTATTGCAGTTGCTGTGGTTTAGTCTTGGCTCTGTAGTACTTGGATTGTCCTTGAGTTTAGCCCTAAATTCATGCTGCAAACTAGCTTCACTCTGCTGTGTTAGTCAGTGTTCCCCATGGAGCAGTCCCCTTCCTGTCCATGATTTCCCTCTCAAGAGAAGCTACCATGCACGAACAGGTGAGCACTTGAGTCTTGTCCATAGAGGTGCTGGTATGTGCTGGGGTGTCTGAGCCCTCTGGAGCATCTTCCCAAGACCACATCAGTAGGTGACATGGGAACATGTCCCACTGCTGTGAGCGCCAGTCTGCACCTTGCCAGGACAAGAATTTCATGAGAGCTGAAGGACAGCCTCCATGATAGCCTCCATACGTGGTCTCTGCCTATTTTCCAGAGGACATGGGCACAGGTTCCAGCTTTGGCCCTTGCAGTCCCATCACTGCTGCTCTGAGTTACTTATGTAAGCATCTGGACATCCTCTGTAGTCAATAGAGAGAAGCCAAGTGAGCAGCAGTCGTCTTAAATCTCCTGTCATCTGATGCTGCGCTTGACCGACTTCCTCATTGACCTGTCTTCTCCTTTATACACTTTTTGTAGGTTCCAGTAGCCTAATTTATGAAGTTTTATTGTTTCCATGTTATTCTTCCTTCGCCTCACCCCAGCCTCCCTCCCTTACCCTGCCACTCTGGCTACTTGAGAATTAATGACTGTTAATACTGAGATGCAGGGGGCACAGATTCATCACAGATTCAGCCGTGACTGCTCCCCGATCCTTGGGATCTTCTCAGTGACCTGTCAGTGCTCCCCAATCCTTAGGACCTTCTCAAGGAACCATCAGGTGCTGCAATAAGCATCACACTGCAAACTCACAGCAAGGACAGCAAAGCTCCCTGGTGTCTTGGGGCTACACTGGTGGCTGGTCACTGATGAGGTGTCCCAAAAGAGATGGAGCCCATCCAGGTCTCCCATTACAACCTGCTGTTACAGTGCATCTTCGTGCTATCACAGTTTGGTGAGCACAGTCAGAGCTATCAAATCACTTCGTTAATGATTCTGGGAGTGGTATGAAGTGTTATTGCTTTTTGATACCAATGTCACGCCTTCAAATATTCATTAAAGCTGCATGATTCCCCTCCCTCCCATTAAGTCCTGAATAATCAACGCTCTGGTTTCTTCATACTTCACAAGACAGGGCTGGATCCTGCCCATTCCTTGTCAGGTTTGAATCCTCTGCTTTTAACACTGATCTCCATGAGTATCTTCATTCAGATCTTAGTGGAGGGCTGAGAAGTGCTTCCTGTGGCTGTCTGATTGCCTTTTGGCATGTAGTGTTAGGGGGAGAGGTGTTCAGGCCACTGCACCTCCGTGCGGGTGGGATGAGCCCTGACAAGATGCTTTATTAATTATGAATGATGAGAGGGTGCAGGGCTGGCAGCAGGCAGGGCTTTGCTTCTGCTCCTTTCCCACTAACCCAGGGACAGAGGTGGCAAACTCTTAGTTCCTGTTGAAATAATTTGGAAGGACAGAGAGGGGACTCAGGAGAGGAGAGCAGACATTTGCCTCAAGACCACACAGCAGCAGCTGCCTAAGGGCACCTTCCTGTGGGCACTAGTATGAACACTGGGTCCAGGATAGTTAAGGAGTGTCTCCTTGGAACAGTGTCTGTCCCCATGGTCCTCAAGGACCCTGGTGGCACCTGGACCATGTCCTTTTAACTCCATGGGTTTCCAGACCATGTCCTGCTAACTCTGTGAGTTTCTGCTTTGACCTGGGCCATTTTCCTGCTATAGCTCCACACTGTTGCTCCTTCAGCACCAAAAGGAGTAGGGTGAGACTTGAATGGGACAGAGAAATGCCTGGAGAAAGCGAGGAGGAGCAAGAACAGCAGAAGAGCATCCATGTCTTGCAGTGAGGGATACCACCAAGCAGGGGCAGCTCGGCACAGCAGAGGTGGGAGCTGTTTGAAGGAGTGGCTGCTGCTCCCCAGAGAGTTTAAGCAAGTTAAACAGGGGTGGAGGTTTTGGTCTGGTTGTGTTTAGCAAGACAGCGAAGAGGAGGGACAGCAGAGGGGAGCAGGGACCTGAGGAACCCGAGGGGCTGTGGCACTGAATAGCATCACTGGCGCTGAGCCAGCGGCCGCAGCTGCACGTTCGTTACCCCCAAGTCACACGCGACACTGCTCCAATTACTCCCTCTTGACATGGGCTAATAGGGGAGGATAAGGAGAGCCGGAGAGTCCAGAAGGGTTATGCCGGATGCTTCTTTCCATATTTAAACTTGGCTTCTGCTGGAACAAACGGTGGGTTTGAGATTTGATGAAGCAAGCGGGAGGCAGAGGCAAAGAGCCAAGTGGCAGGATCTTTAATGAAGCTGCAGAGAGGAGCTGGAAGATGGCTGTGCCCTTCCTTGGCATCGTGGGGCTGCACCTGCGAGTACTGTGGGTGCAACTCATGAGCCCAGATGAAAGCAGGGAGGTGCACAGCCACTTGCAAAATAATTGCTCCTGCAAAACTGCGCCAGCACAAAGCAGGGGGCGGGAGGCTGAGGAAAATCAAGTCTGTAATGCTCTCACTGTACACCACAAAGGGGCCATTCACTGCAGGGAAGAGGGTTTTTCCCCTGTTTATCCATGCTGCCGACTTTTATTGAACCCATCCTGAATTTTATTTTCATTTATAAGTCTAGAGGTGGAAAAACATAGGAGGGAAATAAAAGGACAAGGAATCGATTGGCACATAGGGAGGATTAGCAGGAGGTTCTGGAAATATGCACCATTAGGTTGCTGAGATCAGGTGCATTAGCAGACCTGGGCACTGACAGCAGTGGCCTGGCAGTAAACTCTGTTGGCGGACACCCCATACCGCTTACACAGGCAGACTTGCCATGCTCCACTTCCCTCTGATTATTAAAAATGAAAGAGGGGGCACCTGCGAGGTGGACAGGCTCTGAGATGAATTTCTGTGTCTTCCTGCTTGCAGGACTTACAACATGCATGACTTCACTCACACACAAGCACCTCTCACTGCGGTATGGCCTTGTTGCAGCAGTAGCAATTCTCTTCCCTTGCCTGCACACAGCTGGGAAAGAGCTTTATCCCCCTGTACTGCTGCAGCAAACCCCAGGGAGTGTTTTGGCCATGAATCACAAGGCTCAACTCTTTCAGAGCTGCTCCCACCTGCACCCTGGCTGCTCCTCAACATATTTTGCTGGACCAGTTTGCTCCCTTCTCCCATCCGTGCATCTCTGCTGGTGGCAGAGCCCACCAACCCCATGCTTGGAAAATGCCAGTGAGGCTGTGTCCCTGGATAATCTTGTTTTTGTCAAAAAAAACTTAACACCAGCCATCTGTTATGTGATGCTAGTCAGTAAATTTATTATGGGCCTGTGCCTCTTATCTGTTTGTCTTCATTGTGGCTGCTGCCAGTTCCACCTGATTTTAGGTTTCAGCAGCAATGTGGAGTATATTTATCACTTTGCCCTTTGAAGCAGAACCGCTTGAATAATCTCACCTATTTGGCAGTGTCTGTCAGGCCCTGCTCTCTGTAGGCTGATATGCTGGTTTATTCTGATAAATGATTTTAAATCTAATTTGAGCTGTGGGAAGGAGGAAATCACATTCCATTTAAAAATGTTATTGTCAAAGGTGAAAACATTTGGTGACAAGGTGAGCAGCAGTTACAGGCATGGGTGGAGTCTTCTGCCAGGTTTGACAGGACACCAAGGGTCCCAGGCTGCAGATCTGGGGTAAAAAAGGTTCCCCAATTTATTGCTGCAGGAGAGTCTACGGTAAATCTGTTGTTTACTGGGGAGAGAACACCCTGACAGGTTGCTGTATCACATCCATACATTTCTCTCTATTTCAGGCAGTTTGCTAATGCTGTACAGGTCCTTTGGGCAAAGCCAGGGTGTTGCTGTAGCTCTGCCATTGATGAAACATCACATCTCCCCAACTGCAGCACTGGGGTTGCTTTCAGTGGGAGAGTGTGGAGAGGTGAGGAGGCTTAGACCTTGGTGCTGTTTGCCTGAACCCGGCAGGTTTCACCTTGGCTCTCCATCAATACTGAACTGGCCTTCAGGTGCCTTCTCTGAGGCCATGATAGGCAGGATGGACAACCAGATTGCACTGATTACAGACACACCATCCAAACCAGAGTTATCTGCTGCCTGAGCATGGCAGCAGATACATCCCATGCTCCCAGGAAGACAAGGCCTATTGACAAGGTTGCTTTTTGTGCCAGGAGAAAGTAGGATCATCATGATTTTTCTCACCCTCCTTCTCCTTCCTCCTCATAGCCCCTGCAGAGTTTGTACAGCATCCCCAGTCCATTTCCAGGCCAGTGGGAACTACTGCCATCTTCACGTGTGTGGCCCAAGGGGAACCCCCTCCCCAGATCACTTGGCTGAGGAATGGGCAGATCCTGGAGACCAGTGACCACATCAAGCTGAAGAATAACAACAGGTGAGTCCTGGTGTGCTGACTGCTAGCACTGCAGTACAAAGGGAGAGTTGTTGACTTTCTTTCTACAGAGCAAAGAGCAGATGTGAGGATGGTAATGTTCAGAAGCAGATAGGCCTTTGAGATTCTAAAACACTGCTTCAGTCCTACTAACTCTGCCTTATAGGCTTACATTTCAGTGCTCTATGCTTTTTTGCACCATGACATCAGTGTTAGACTTTTTGACTGTTGATACAGGAGACCAGCAAAAGTTTCTCTTTTGCCCTGATCATCACCTGTGTATTTCAGTAAGGGCTAAATATTGTCCCTAGAGTTGGCAAAGCCCACACTCACTCCACAGTGGAGAAACTGTGCTTTGCCCCTGAACATTGACCTGCCTGGGTGTGCAAATGCAAATATAGTAGCAATAATATTTGCATGGAAGCTGACTTTCACTAAGCTTCAGCCTTTTATCTCACTGGGGAAGAGTGTTTTCTTTGAGTGCTAAATAACTGCATCTTCCTGCGAGGGGATGGGGATGTTTGCACTGAGGAAATGACATGGTGGGATGCACTTAGTGGGAAAATTACAAGTTGACGGTGTAGTTTCTATGGAAATAGCATGGAACAATATACTACAAAATAATAGCACCTGTGTTGTAAACCTGAATTATTGGTAGAGATTTGTACTCTGTGGTGTCATATAGCTGCTCTCTGTATTAACAAATGTGTCTCATGAAAGCAACTACCCAACCTTGCTGGAGAGTCTGGACCTTCAGTTTAGACAGTTGGGGAGTGCTGTGCAGGCATCATTCCTCAGGGGAAAACAGTGAGTTTATTTTTCTAGGTTTCTGTATAATACGCCTTTTTGTTTTCAGGTTTGAGGGTTTTTTTAAGCTTTGTTACATGAGGGATGGAAGGATGTGTGTTGCAAGAAGGATAAGGTGCGAGTGGTAATAAAATATTCCCAACCAGTGGAGATTTTCTCTGAGCTGTTAGTTTTTAGAGCTTCAGGAAACTTTGTGTGTGCACATAGACATGCCACTCACTTCAGGCTTGTGATCTTCTGGTTCATTGCATGTGTTTCTAGGCATGTCTACCCTTGTAATATGAACAGATCAGAAGGGGGAGAAGGGAAATTAGGTTTTTTTATCCCTTTTATTGATGAGGATCCAGAGTCAGAAGTGACCAAAGACTTTCCAAGCAGTCATTAAATCCATTACAAAACTGACACTGAATCCAGCTCTGTGTCTCACCCAGATGTCTGGCCTGTGGAATCATTCCTCTTGACAGTTCGAGGAAAGTAGAAGTCAGGTCTTTGGTCGTGGTCATGTCTTCCTGGCCAGGTCCCTGTGCCTGGAGCTGCCCTACACGTGTACACGAACTGCGACTTGGTGAACATCACTGTAATCGTTTTCTTATGGGAATCATTTAATGCAATTTAGCCTCAGCCTTTTCCATGGTGAGCTAAATGCTCAGATTACAGCATCTGGCACAGGCTGAGGGAGCTCAGCCTCTTACTGGGACTCAGCTGACACGTGGCATCGTCTCAAGCTATAGTAACACAATTGTAAAGCTGAGCCCTAAGGCCATCATACTTGATGATGCTGAACTTTTGTCTTCTTTCACACTAGTCTTGGTCTGCTCCAACCCCAGCTCCAGGCAAGTGGCCATGCCTAGGGGTTTCCAAGGCTGTCAGTCTGAAAAATGCCCTCGCTGGTGCAGCAGGGCTGGGTACCCCGTGAATTGGAGTAGACAGATCAACGGATGATTTTTGTGAGCTTTTTCTGAGCTTTTTCAAGTTGTCCTTTGTTTCACTCTCATGGGCATGACTAAGTGCTGTAACCCACTTAGTTCCAGGCAGAATCAGTATGTGGTTATGCCTTGGATTTATCAGTCTATTGCACTTGGAAAATATTTGTCTATGTAAAGATGGATCTCAAATCTACCAGTAATGAAGCTACTAAACTGTACTATGAGCTTTTTAATTAGATTACATGGTTTCCAAGAAAATTCATTTGGATTAAAACTCTGCTTAATATTGCCATAAAGGTCTGAATGCCCCCAAAGGGATTTTTAAGGGGAAAAAGGAGTAAATCATCCCAAATCATATCATGTGCTAATTGATTGCAAAATGTGTCATTATGAGCAACTTCATTTTTGTAAATGAACACAGCCAGAAGTGAGATCCAGACCTGTAGAACACAGAGCATTTGAGATGCTGCTCTGCTCCTGCAAGCTTGAGGCCTCACTCCTGTGGGCAGTAGTGTGTCTGCACAAACTCACAGCCTGCGGATCCATTGGAGTGTTGCTCCCAAAAGCTGTGAAGGGCCCTTTGGCACCTACTGCACCCCACACTGTCTCTCGTGTGCAGTAACTGCAAACGCAAGGAAAGCAAACCCACAAAGAGAGGGGACTCCCAAAGCTCATCATTCTTGGGATGGGACAGCAGCTTCAGGACTGGATTCACTGTAGATTGGATGTTGCTGCTGATACAACATCAGATAGTCACTTGCTAAGCAACTTCCAGCACAGTAAAATCAGCCTGGCAGGCTGCATCCGATAAATACCTCATCCCTCCTGGTCCCTCAGATGTGAATTCCCATCACCTGATGTGTTGATGGTTTCTGGGCACATTAGCATTAAAGATCAGCCTTCTGCTGTGCCCTCTCCAGAGGTGGTTGTTATGTTTTGAAAATGCCAGCTGTGTGGGAACAAAATATCCAATCGATGATTAGCAAAAATCAAAAGCAGTTCTGGGATAGCGGATAATTGTTAATGAAATATGCATGAAGGCTCAGGCGTAGGGAATTGTGGGGTTTTCCATTAAAAGCTGTGAATAGAAATGAGTGAAGGAGCTGAAGATGGGGCTGCCTTGCCATGCAGCCCCTGGGCTGGGGATGGAGCTGGTAGCTGTCGGGATGATACTGCTCTGAGCCGAGCTCTTGGGTGGAGAAACTGATGGAGCCTTTGGGACTTTGGTGGAGCTATCTCTGTGTCCAGCAGCCACAGGATGTATCCGTCTGTGATGATCTGAGATGCTTGTATTGCTCCTGGGCTGATTTGGATTGATCAAGATTCAAATGCCTGAGAGGTGTAATGAGCATTTCTAAGCAAAATTCCCACCTGGCATCACCAGCCTGTCCCAAAAGCAGGAGTACCGCTGCAGGAAGGAGTGGTTGCTGGCCAAGTTAACCATGGGCTTGTGTAAAATCATACTTCTAGGTTATTACTTCAAAATTACTGATCTGAAAGGTATATTGCTTTTCTTCCTTTGATCCAATCAGGTTTGGGGGTAATTTTCAGCCTAGAAGTATATCACACTATGGGGTTTATATTGCTTTAATAGCAAGCAACAAAGGCCAACGTCTTCAGAGAAGGCAGGCTCTAAATATTGATTTTCCAAGAAGATTTTATTTACAAAATGGTAATTAAGGGACTTCATTTGTTCCACCGGAAAAAGGCTTCGTTAGAACCAGGGCTCAGGTGGCGTTTGCTCTCTTCAGTGACCTTTGCTAGTGAACTGTCTCCTTTTTCAATTCTTCTCACTGGTTTACACTTGGTTTTCTACTCTGGGAATGACTTACTTCAAGAGCTGTGGATGTTCAAGGTTCATCAGGGAAAATATTCCTTCATAAATAAATTTCAGGACAACTTTGCTTTTCTTGTACTTCCAAGCCCTTGGGACCAGACAGCCCTTTTGGTTCCAAACCCAGGGAAACAAGAGCCTGGCATTCACAAAGTGGCCTTTTCCTATAAAACCCACACTATCTGAGTGCAGAGAGATGCAGGTGGGTTTGCACATCCCTTCATGGTGCACACACCCCACAGACTCTTGAATTTGTAGGGATTTGGGCACCTTAAGAGAGGACAGGCAAGGTTGCAGGTTACTTATGCCGTGAGTTTGAAGACTGTTGTGACTGTGGGAAGGGTACCCTATAGCAAATCATATTTCAGTTCCCAGAAGCATGACAAATAAGTATGTGGAGGACTGGGATGTGAACCAGCTGCTCCCGATTTAAGAATAATTTATGGGTTTGACTTGGGAAGACAAGTGGAAATGGCCTTTGCAAGGAGGATCTCTGCACGAGTGCCCAAAGCCCCATTAAGCAGTGGGGCATCAGTGTGATCCTGCCTTCCCCGCACCGAGCAGGGATTCCATGCTGGGATCACACAGCCATGCCCCACAAAGTGGATCTGCAGCAGCCCTGGATCAGCCAATAGCTACAGGAACCAGCCTCTCCTTCTGTCTGTGGCTGTGGTTATTTTGCTACCAAGTTGCCTGTGTAATTTCTCCATGTGCTGCTCCACTGATCTGCTCTTGAAGTGCATCGCCGAGTCAGGGGTTTAAGTGTTTGTTCCCATGGCTGCACACAGCAAAAATCCATTGTCAAGGAATGGCCCTTACACAGGAGCCTTTGAGGCAGGACTGAGCCCGTAGTGAGGCAACCTAAAATCAGCCTCCCCTGAATTAGGCCATGTCTTTTTCCTCTCCAATCCTTGTGCCCCTTTGCTGGGAAAAAGCTATGGGAGACCTTCCATTTAGCAGCAGAGACCTCTCCCAGGTGTCTTCATTCACAGTCCTACCAATATAGGCATCTGCTGTCCCCTCCAGTAGTTTTTCTTGAGATGTTTTGTGCTTCCCTGTGATCCTGCAGATGTAAAGGTTGTTTTCTGCTCTCTCCCTGGGACAGGATTCAGTCAAGTCTGTGTTTGCACTCTCTGGGTCATGAAAACAGACTGAGTGGCTGGGACCAGACATCCCTGCAGAAACTGCTCTTGGGTGTCTCTAACTGCAGAGTCAGGCTGGGATCCTGCCCAGTGGGCTGCACTCCCTGCTAAATATATACCAGTCGGTACGGAAAAGGTTCCTTCTCCTGCATAACCCAACCCAACTCCACCTGGGAAGTCTAGCATGGTATTCTGGATACATAAGCACATGTGTGTAGAGGTCTGGGCATGATACATGGTGTCCCTTTGGGCTGCCGAGTGTGCCTCTTCAAGCTTTACACCTTATTCTGAGCCTGTACAAGGCAATCTTCAAAGTACAGGGCATTTCTGCAAAGCTGCCCACAGCCAGCACTGGAGGGGCCAAAGGCTCCTTTCCAGCACAGCAGTGTCCAGCAGCCCAGGAGTGCATCATTCGACACAGCACAGCACGAGCTGTAACAGAGGCAGAGCAGGGCACAGGGACAGGGCACCTGAACGTGGCACTGGTGGCTTTCTGAGGCTGCTGGCACTTGAATGCTGTCCCTGCTAGCCACAGCCTGCTCTCTGCATTAATTTCATCACACTCCCTCTTTTGTGCGCCGGTGCGCGCGCATGCTGATACCCTTCCAGATGGGCCCCTCTGCTTTGTGCTGCTGAATCGATGAAGAGGCTTCCTTCAGTTTGCAGACTTTTTCAGAGGAGCCTTTGGAAAGCCGATCTCCGGTCACCGGCCTGGACCCCTGACCCGAGCCAGATCAGTCATCCTGATTGCCTATGAACTGGGAAGACAGCTTGGGAATACTGCGGCTTTGGAGCAGCGGAGGCCTCTCGTTTCAGCTCAGCCGGGTGTGAATCTGCAGCAGCTCCTCTCCCCACTTCCATCAATGCCTGTCAGGGCATTGTGCGGAGATGTGATGGAGCCCTCGGCTCGCCGAGCGGCTCTGGTGACCAGCAGAAAGCCTTCTGGCATCTCGCCTCGTCTGACGTGCTCGCGGCGCTGCCAGTCTGGCACTCGCGGGAAAGTTTTCCAACAGCAGATGTCCCAAAGTGACAGATTTTTTTTTCCCTGTTGACGGGGAGAAATAAAAGGACACTGCATATTTCAGATGGTTGACACACAGAGACGCTCTGAGCCCCCTCGCACGGCAACTGCAGATTTGTCTTTTGTTTGAGCTGCTGTAAAAATAAAAGGCAAAAAGCAATAAATCTGGGAAAGCTGCTGGACCAAGCACTGACCTGGCCATGCTGCACCCTCGGCGTCCTGGGGGTGATGCAGTGGGTGAAAGCAGGACGAATTTGTCAGTAGTTAGGATGGAAAGGGATGCACAGCAGAGGGATCAGCTGGGATGATGCTGAGGTTCATGTAACTCACTGCCAGGTCCTGCCCTTCTCATGGCAGCAACCAGTGAGCTTCTGAGCTCGCACCAGAGCCTCCTGTGGACGTCTGCCTGTGTATGTTTGGGGACCCACAGAAAGAGAAGACCCTTTTTCTCATGAAGCTGGTGTTTAGATGCTGGGCACTCTGCTCAACAGCTGCTCCTTGCTCAGTCTCTGCTCCTTGCCCAGGTTTATAGGCACAGCCAAAAACCAGCTGTGTTATTGCCTTGTTGCCTGCACATCATTCCAGGTAGTGTGGGTCCTGGGTAACAGATGGCCATGGCTCTCATTGCACAGCGCATCCAAACACAGCCATGTAAACCTCAGTGAAAATGAACTTTTTGAAGCCTGAAACAAGTTTCCCCCTACCTCCCATGTCAACTTTGCAGAAAATCTTTTATTTCTTCTGACTTGACTGGGCATAACAGAGAGGCTCTGCTCAGCTCTGGGTCCCAGTGGCCAAGTGCCATCCTGCTCCAGGACCACTGGCATCTTGCAAGTCATCTGTGTCACGCAGGAGGAGCTTTGCTCACTCCCAGATCTTCCAGGAGAGAGAAGTGTTTGGCCCAAGCATCATGTCATTGCCATCAGGCTCCTTGCACCCTTGCACTGCTTTCCAGCCAGGCTCCCCTCTTCCCTACTCTGCATCTTTTCCTCTCTCTATGCAAAGCAAATAAATACCCTTGGAGGCAGCAGAGCCTAAATACTCCTTGTTCCAGGGCTGCTTTGTGCTTGGGAAGGTTAACACTGCTCTTGACTTGTGTGCCAGCCCAGCCTGGCCACTCCTGGGTGCCCAGATGTACAGCGGCCACGTGGAAATAATCCCTGCATTGACAGGGCAGAAGGAAGTGCTGCTGCTCCTTCCACACATCTGCTTTGTGCAGGGCTGGGAGTACAGCGCTCGGATAGCGTAATCCTGCCTTCTGCCATCTGTCCTCACAGGAGTCAGCCCTTGTTGACACAGCTGAGCCACACATCAGGTCCTTCCTCCCTGCGCCCCCTCCCAGCTCTGCCTTTCTCCTTCCATTTAATCAGATACGTTGAGCCCGTGGCTATGAGAGGAGCTTAGGGCTGATTCTCGAAAATCACCATATCAGCTGAAACCATCACATTTGATATTCCATTTACAATGTTTCCAAGGAAACAAAGGCACAGGACATAAATAGATGACTGTTAAACATTTGCTCACTCACCATGGCCCCCGATAATTTGCAAGGCAGGAATAGGAATGTTAAATCAACAGCAATAATAAATTTTAATATAGGAAGACCAATATTTTGCTGCAATTAGAAGAAGCATTTGTTCTGACATACAGGCAGGCAGTGGCAGGTTATTTATCATTTTCACTTCCAGCGTTCAATTTTTCATTTACATAAAAGGCAGCTTTGACTGTGATTCCCAAAAAGCCATGGAGTGCCCCTCGCATCAGCAGGGATGCTTGGGATTTACTCATGTACAGTCAAGTCCCAGGTCTACCTGGAATTCACCACAGGAAAAGAAAGTAATTTATTTCTCACTAGGAGCAAGTAGTGAATGTGGATTTGGTTAGGTTTGGGTCATTTCTTACAGAAAAATAGCAAAAGACTCATGTGAGCTTTGGCCTAAGCCAACAAGGTGATGTGGAAGCTTGGAGGCATCATGTGGAGCCAGAAGCAAACCACAGTGCAAATGAATTGGACAGGACTGGAAGTACAGATGCACAAACAGGGGTTAATCCAGAGTGGGGCACATATGGATGGTGCTCCACAATGGAAGCAGAGGCAGTGTTTTACTCAGTGTTTAATTCAGTGCTGGAGGGGTTTACCCTATAGCCTGTCTATAGGAGTAGTCAATCCCCACAATTTGCATAATGAATGCAGTAACACTGATGTTTACAGTGGTGTCAAATCTGTCACCGGGTTTAGGTGGCCCAGTCTGGGCTTCTACTGGGCCTTTATTTCTGAAGTTTTCCCCAAGATCCTTGTTTGTGAGAACATCCTCTCAGGATTAAGGGCATTGTAAGCAGCTTTTACCACAACCTCAGCTTCTACCCCTGATGTGAAAGTCTGCCTTTCCAGTTCCAGCTTGGAGCTGGACACAGTGTGGTGAGAGTCTCCACCTCATATCTTGCAAGGGAGATGCACTGGGTATTTATTTATCTAGGTGGCCTTGTGTCTGATGGATTGTCACACATTGAGTTGCATTGTTCCTGGCTGGGTTCTGAGCAGAGCTTTCATTGATGGGTTTCTGTTTGTGAACAGATGTTATTTAGAAAAGCTGCTTTGCACATTGAGCAACAAGACAGAGCTAATGTGTGCCACAACTATTTCTGAGTCAGTACATGCTGGTATTGCTTTAAAGATATTGAGAGGTGCAACCCTTGGGCTGGCCCTGAACTGGCTCCAGTTGTCCACAGCCATTGCTGTAGGGTCATGCAGTGCAGAAGGGGCCTCGAATTCATGTGGCCACATGCTACAAGGTCTCTGGTTGTGTCTGTGCTCATCAAGCCACTAAACACCTCTCCTGGAGATGCTATAGAGACAGACACAGTGCTCAGGAATGCACTCATCTGGAAGGCTCATACAAGGCTGGTATTGTCCCTGCCTTTAAGGGTGTTTTCCACCAGGGTAACAGGTGCCTGTAGAAACAGCATCTAAGCCTTATGTGGAGAGCAGACTGGAAGAACTGTTCTGGATGTTTTGCTGGGAGGGAGTAAGCTCTGATGCACCAGCATCAAAAGCACACTCAGAGGTTTTGCAGACAAAACCTGCAGCTTGCTCATGAGCTTTGACTTTTGACTCGTGGGGATCGTGTTTCTGTAAGTGCAGAAGCAGGAGCTGAGGCTGTAACCCTGCTGGATAAGTCAGCTAATCCCAGTGTTACCCTAAGACAGCTCTAATGTGCAATAATGCAATTAGAGCAACACCGGAGGGTTTTCTGGCTGCGTTTGATTAGACTTGGCTTAGCGACCATGTGCAGTGCCTGGATGGGTCTCACTGGTGTGTACTGGAACTAAGCCAGTTAAAGCTGGTTTGGGGTGTGTATGCACTTGCCACAGAGCTGTCTCTGTAACGTGGCTGAGATCTTCCTGAATCCAGGGCTTCAGATCCTGCTGTTGCACACCCCACCCTGTGTCCACATCTGAACCATAGTCTCTGCAAGCTGAGACAGAGATCATCTGCCCAGTCACAGGTTCCAAGGAATGACACATCCACCTCTTGGGCTTTTCCTTCCCCAAAAGCACCAGCCACAGCTTTCTGGAAGCTTTCCATGGAATTAGAGGCTGGGGAATGCTCTGCCATTGGAGCCAGCAGGGGGGCATAGCTAGAGGGATGTCTGCTGCAGAGCACTCAGTGAGATGCTTGTCCCTCTCATGTCCCCCTGCAGCACTCTGTCCATCTATGGGATCAACCAGGCGGATGAAGCCATCTACCAGTGCCTGGCTGAGAACAGTGCTGGCTCCACGCAGGCCAGCGCTCGCCTGACTGTCCTGTGGGCTGATGGGCTGCCCAGTCCTCCACAGAGTGTGAAGGCTGAGACTGTCTCTGCAACCACCATCCAGGTGTCCTGGGAAAAGCCTCTGCAGAACACCAAGGAGATCATCGGCTACGTGCTGCACATTCGGAAAGCCGCAGGTATGGTGCCACTGCCCAGACATCTTTAGCCTTCCCAGCAGCACAGCCCACTGGGAAAAACCAGGTCTGCACTGCAGGGGACTGTGCTGCCACCCGTGTTCTCCATCACCTCCCTGTTTCTGAGGGACAGAGATGAGGCTGTAGTGCTGCTACATTCTCCCCAGAGGGTGGGGAGAGTGAAGCCACACAGTCAAATCTTGCTGCCCGTGTAGATATCTGGCAAAGTACAGATAAATAATAGAATATCA